TACCCCCAAGGATTTCCTGACGATTTATTTGGGAATCGCGCTGTCGGTCGAGACATCGCAGGACGCACTCTTCAGCAACCCGCCTGCTCGACCTGGCCGCCTGGGCCCACCTTCCCGACCCGCCCATTGGGGGCTGCCCGCCCGATCAGCCCGTCTGGTTCTGCCACGTGTTTTCTGCTCCTGGCCTCCATCCTGCTCTTCTCTCTCGTGCTCTATCCTCCTCCCTCCCCGCTGCCCCTTCCTTCCATCCGTCCTCTCTTCCCCTGCCTCAGGGATGGCTCAAAATACACGTTGCAGAAAACACACACACACATGTATATGTATACATCTGTATTTATATTTGTATTTAAAGTATATACATATATACCCTGGGGTACGATCGAAGACGAAGGGGGCCGGTGCCGAGGGTTCGGGATATGCGTGTTGAGTGGGTCGCGAGCAGATGAGAGCGAACAGTCTCAACATGATTGATGTCGCTGTTGATCAACTCTCGTTACTGAAGGTTAACTATTGTTGATTCCCCCCCCTCCGGTAACATATGCGTTTTTTTTCAATTGAGGTGCAATCTTCCTCCTCAAGGTGCACCCTGGCCCTCGAGTTACAATAACAACGGCTCCCGCTTGATAGTTCCTTGGAATTTACTTGTTTGCAATGTATCGAAGAATCGCACTCTCACCTGTGAGCTGCTCTTCGCAATTATTTCAGGCGCCACGCCCTCGCCATCCAGGAATCGCGCTCTCGCTGGGGGCTTCCTCGTAATTTAGGTAGGAATCGCGCTCTCGCCAGAGGCTTCCTGGCGAATTATTGAAGATCTCGCATTCTCGTTAAATACGTGTTTTTCAAGTGAAGTGCCTCTCTCGGGGCTCCCTGTTTTTTTACGGGGGCAAGTCTTCCTGCTCAAACTGTGCCCTTGGTCCCCGGCTTACATCAACAGCAGCTCCCGCCTGATACTTCCTTGCAATGTATTGAAGAATCGCGCTCTCGCTAGGGGATTCCTTGCAATTTATACAAACATCGCACTTCCGCCTGATACTTCCTTGCAATGAATTCAGGCGTCGCGCTTTCGACGCTCAGGAATCGTGCTGTCGCTGTGGACTTCCTCGAATTGATTCAGGCGCCGCGCCCTCGACACTCAGGAATCACGCTCTCGCTTTGGATTTCTTCGCGAGATTCATTTCCCAACCATCCTGTGGGTGTTAGGTCTTCGTTTTGAAGAGACAGCGCCCCGCGTCTCACCTCACCTCACCTCTCGCTGCCCCCTCCCTCCTCCCCCTCCTCCTTCCTTCAACCGCCTCGTCGTCTTCATCGTCATCGTTATCATCGTCATCATCATCGCCATCGTCATGATCCACATCATCATGATCATCACCATCGCCATCGTCAGCGCCGCGCCCCTCACGCGGTTCGTGGCGCCACAGGGAACTCCACCGAAGGCCAAAGTGGCAGCGGTTGTATGCGTCACCGCCGCCTCGAACTGGTTGGTGGGACACCCTAGCTCTGGAGTAGACCCACTAAAAGAAATGGCTACTGAACATATGGAAACATATGCGGTGCCGCGTGTTAGTTTACCGCATCAAGCGGCAGCGTTGAAAAATGATCAGTAGCAGCCCCAGCGGCACACCCGTGAAGAAGGTGCCCGTAAAAACGGCGCTGGGTGGAAAACGCGGTGCCCCCACGCCCCCGCTGGCAAAAACTCCCCAGAACGACAATCAACACAAACCCGCAACGGCCTAAGCGCCGCAGTGGCCGGCACTCACGGAGCCCGTCCAACAACCACGCAGAGAGAGGACTTTTACGACGGTTCGTGGCCCCATGGGGAGCTCCACCGAAGGCCTCAGCGGAAGCGTCCGCATGGCACCGTTGCCCCATTTCGGCACACCCCTGACACTCCACCGAAGGCCCCAGCGGGAGCGTCCGCATGGCACCGCCGCCCCCTTTTGGCACACCCCTCACACGGTTCATGACCCCAGAGGGAGCTCCACCGAAGGCCCCAGTTGGGGCGTCAGAATGGCTTCGCCGCCCCATTTTGGCACACCCCTCACACGGTTCGTGGCCCCAGAGAGAGCTCCACCGAAGGCCCCACCCAGTGGGAGCGTCCGCGTTGCACCTCCTTCGTCTCCCCTCCCTCGCGGTACTCGCAGCAGCTTATGGTTGGGTACTTCGTCAGGCTAATTTGGAATCGCGCTGTCGCTCAAGGCTTCTTCGCGATTCATGCAGGACGCACGCTTCAGCAACCCGCCTGCTCGACCGGGCCTCCTGGGCCCGCCCGTTGGGGTCTACCTGCCCGATCTGCCCGTCTGGTTCTGCCACGTGTTTTCTGCTCCTAGCCCCCCTCCTGCTACTCTCTCTCTCTCTCTTTCTCGTGCTCCATGCTCCTTTCTCCCCCTTGTCGCTTCCTTCCGTCCGTCCTCTTTACCCCTGCTTTAGGTGATGCACGAAATACACGTTGCAGGTAAAGATATACCCCCAAGGGCATACGATCGAAGACGAAGAGGGTGAGTATCGAGGGTTGGGGATATGCATGTAGAGTGGCCCGCGAGCAGATAAGAACGATAGTCTTAAACTGATTGTTGTTGTTGTTGTTGTTGTCGTCGTCGTCGTCGTCGTCGTCGTCGTCGTCGTCGTCGTCGTCGTCGTTGTTGTTTTTTCTCTGTTCTCAAATATGATTATCGTTGATTCCCCTGCCCAGTAACCATTGTATTTTCAAGTGATGTGCTTCTCCTGGGGCTCCCAACCTGTTTTTTACAAGGGAAAACTGGATGTCACCAAACTGCGCCCCCTGGCGCCCGGTTTACAACAACAATGGCTCCCGCCTGATATTTCCTCTGCTCGACCTGGCCGCCTGGGTTCGTTTTCCCGACCCGTCCGTTAGGGCCTACCTACCCGCCCGATCAGCCCGTCTGGTTCTGCCACCTGCTTTCTGCTCCTAGCCCCCCTTCTGGTACTCTCTCTCGTGCTCCATCCTCCTCCTTCCCCTTGTCCCTTCCTTCCATCCGTTCTCTCTTCCCTTGCCTTAGGGGCTGCGCGAAATTCACGTGGCAGGTAAGAGAGATCTACCCCACAGGTGGGGTACGGTCGAAGACGAAGAGGGCCGGTGCCGAGGCTTTTGGATATATGTGTTGTAAAGAGTAATTTTTGTTGATGTACCCTCCCTGCGGTGCACCTTGTGTTTTTCAAGTGAGTGCTGTGAGTGCTCCTCCAGGGGCTCGCACGCTGGTTTTTACAACTAAAAGTCTGCCTCTTCAGATTGTGCCCCTGGCCCCCGAACTGCAACAACACCGGCTCCCGCCCGATACCTGCGAACAATTTATCATTTCAAAATCGCGCTTTCGCGCGGGACTTCCTTGCAATCTATGCAGGAATCGCGCTCTGGCGTGGGATTTCCTCGCAATTTACTCAGACGCCGCGCCCTCGACGCTCAGGAATGGCGCTCTCGTTCTTGCTTTTCTTGCGATTTACTTGGTAATCGCGCTATCACTCGAGACTTCCTCGCGATTCATGCAGGACTCACGCCTCAGCAAGCCGTTCCGCCCCGCCCGACCCGCCTGTTTGGTTCTGCCACTCGTTTTCCTGCTCCTAACTCTCCCCCTTCCAATATATCTCTAACTCCATCCTTCTCCCTCCCTCTTGTCCCGTCCCTCCTTTCTCAATTTTCCCTGTTTTAGGGGCTGCGCCAACTACACGTGGTAGGTGAGGACTCTGTACCCATACGACCACCCTTTGGATGATAAGGAGATTGGGGGGTGGGGGGGGAGAAAGAACTGCTGGCAAATGCGATGGGTGTGACAATGACGATGCTGGCGTCGCGCCCTCGAGTTAGTGACGACCAGGGATGACGATGTTGCGCTGCGATGTAATGCCACAATCGTCATCATTGTCGATCTCGCTTTCGATCTTTCTATCGGTTCCTTTATCGATCTTACTATCGGTCTCATTATCGATCTCACAACCAATGTCACACTCAACCGCACTGTAGAACCTCACTTCTGATCTCACTATCCATCCCGTTCTAGCGATCTTTTTATTTATCTCACTATCGACTTCACTATCGATACCAAGGCAGGACACCCAAAGCCACCGCCCGCCCACCGCCGACGGAAACCGACTGGACACCAACGGGACACCAACGGGACACCACAGGACACCATGGCGGGACACCCTGGGCCACCTCGCGCCCACCAGGGGCGGAGGGGCGGTCCACTGCATCCGAATCGCCCTGGCGACGGCGGGGTCATTCCTCTCGCGCTTTGCCTCGCCCGCACGCACGACACGAACACGAAACCGAAACCGATTTCCCGGTGGGGTGCTCTCCGTTCCACTGCGATCTCTCCACCCAACGTCCGACCTACAAGGGGGGGGGGGTACGATCGAAGACGAAAAGGGCGGGTACCGATGGATTGGGATATACATATTGAGTGAAACGTGAGTAAATGAGAGCGACCAATGTTGCACTGCTGATTGTTGTTGATGATGATGATGATCATGATGATGATGGTGATGGTGGCACGTTTAGTTTGAGAAGTACTGTCAGACTTGAAGCTCCACAGAGGAGCGCTGCGGCACCTGTTCACTTTCCTTTCGCAGCAGGGCGGGCTTCTGCCCAGCAGTGTGACGTATCGTATCGTATCGTATTGATGATGACAACGGCGGCACTCAATCGTTTGCCAGTGAGAGGAGGAGGAAGAGGATGCGGAGGAGGAGGACGAGGAGGAGGATGAGGAGGGGGAGGAGTATAAGGAGGCATAGTATGGGAGGCGGAGGAGGAAGAGGGAGGAGGAAGCGGAAAAGGGTCACCGAGGGCCTCGTGTCATTGATGGAAGCGGTCCACAGTCTTAGCCTTAGGAGGATGAATGTGAGGAGGAGGAGGAGGACGAGAACGAGAACGAGAACGAGAACGAGGAGGATGACAGGGACGAGGACGAGGACAAGGAGGAGGAGGAGGAGGAGGAGGAGGAGGAGGAGGAGGATGGAAGACATGGAGGGCCCCCCTCACGCCGCAGCTCGCGGACGTGTTGCACATCTTCCACCAGCTTGGCCCGCCGGCCGACAACAACAGGCCCGCCAGACGCTCCCGCCGAGCCAGAGGCGGCGCACGGTTGGCCCTGGGGGTTTGTGCTGGTGGCGTGATAAAGGAGGAGAATGCGGAATGAGCGGGGGGGAGAAGAAGAAAACGAAGAAGAAGATGAGGAGTAAGAAGAAGACTAAGAAGAGAACTACGACAATTAATAACAGGACTAAGAAGCAAACATTATGCAAAACAACGACGCGAATAATACTACCAGAATTAATAAGACGAGTCCTAAGTTGAACCGTGCTAAGAATGATAATGGCATGGGTAATGATAATACTACTAGTGGGGACACTCATAATCATGAGACGAACACGACGAATACCAGCAATCACAAGACTATCCATAATACGAAAGATACAGACTATCACTCAGAAAACTAATACTGTTACTAATGCGAATGCTGATGCTAAGGACAGTGGCACAAATAAGAACAATGGGGATCTGATTCGTAATAATAAGAGTATTAATCAAACTGATAAGAATAACAATGCTAACCATAAAAGAAGAAGGGTGCGTGGAGAGCCAGGGGGGAGGATGGATGGGTGGATGGAGCGAGGGAGGGAGCGAGAGAGGGATCATGTTGCTCATGATGGGGATGACGATGATGATGGTGGTGGTGAGGATAACGACGCATCCCATGATGATGTCAATGATGACGGTGATGCTGATGCTTACGCTACTGGTGGTGTTGATGGTGCTGCTGCTGCTTATGATGATGATGGCGACGACGATGATGATGATGATGATAATGATGATGATGATTGTGATGATGCTGCTGATGATGATGATGAGTACCACTATAGCTATGACGTTGACCATGCTGATGCTGATGGTAATGGCCATGATGATGCTGACGGTTCTGATGCATATGGCGATTGTGATGCTGACGGCGATGAGGATGATGATGGCGGAACTAATGCTGATGACGCTTAGTATGACTGTCTGGATGACGACAACGAGGCTGCTGCTTGTATTCATGATGAGGGTCGACATGGTGACGATGATGACGAGGATTGTGCTCATGGCAACGATCTTGACGACGGCGACGTTACTGTTGTTGAAGATGATTATGAGGATGCTGATGGTGATGATGATGATAATGTTGATGTTGATGATGATAATGATGGTGGGGAGGAGGATGAGGATGAAGATGAAGATGATCAGGAGGACGAATATGAGGATAAGGATGGGGATGGGGATGAGGATGGGGATGGGAATGGTGATGATGACGATGATACAGATGAACATGATGAACATGATGACGACGATGATGATGATGTGGATGCTGATGATGCCGATGATGTTGGTGATGATAATGCTGCTGCTGATGATAACGATGATGCGGCTGCTGCTGCTGATGATGATGACGATTTGGCTGCTGCTGCCGCTGACGATAATGGTCATGGTGAGGACGAGATGAGGAGGAGGACGAGGACGAGGATCAGGTCGAGGAGGGGGGAGTGAGTTAATGAGCGCGTGAGTGAGCGATATCTACGTATTCATATATAGATATATGTGTGTATATATATATATATATATATATTGCGAAGGCCTTGCGGCCGGTGCCGCCGACCCTGAGAACGACGAAGTTGAAACGAGGGTAGGGGCAGTGGGAGGAGGATGAGTGGGAGGTGGAGTAAGGGTGGAGGAGGTGGATGAGTGTGGAGGAGGGGGGAGAAGGATGTGGAGGAGAAGCAAGAGGAGGAGAAGGAGGCAGAGGAGAGCAAGAGGAGGGGGAGCAGAGGGAGATGGGAGGAGGAGGAGGAGGAGGAGGAGGAGGAGGAGGAGGAGGAGGAGGAGGAAGAGGAGGAAGAGGAGGAGGCCAGAGGCTTTCTTGGGACAGCCTGGGGCTCTCTTGAGGCCGTCTTGGGCCGTCCAGGGCTCCTCTTGCGCCGTCTCGAGGCACTCTTGGAGGCCTCCTGGGCAATTTGGGGCTCTCCTGGGCTGTCTTGGGGAAGTTTGGGGGCCCCTTTGGAGCCTCTTGGGGCCTCTTGGGGCTTCTTCAGGGCCTCTTGGGGGCCTCTTGGGGCTGAGAGCTTGAAATGTCCGTTCGGGTCCCCAGTCTGGGCACTCTCCTGGAGCCGTCTTGGGGGGCTGTTGGGCCTTCTTGGAGGCGTCTTCGGCCGTCTTGGGGCCCTCTTCGGCCGTTAGGGGACCCTCTTGGGGGCCTCTTGGGCTGTCTCAGGGCGATCTTGGGGGCCTCTTGGGCCGTCTTGGCGCGTCGGGAAGCTGAAGAGGCAAGAACGCCAAAATCTTTCAAACACGTATGGGAATTGCCTCTTGGGGCTCTCATGGGAAAGCTCCTGGATGCCTCTTGGGGCGCTTTGCAGGCCTCTTGGGCCGTCTGGAGGTCGTCAAGACGTCTTGGACGGATCGTTCGGCGATTCGGGGTTCTCTTGGACTGTCTTTGGGCCTCTTGGGGCACTCTTGGCCCGTCTTGGGGCTTTTTTGGGCTCCGGGACTCCAAGGGGGGGCGTCGTATCTGAGCCCCCCCGGGACGCCCCCTCCGACCCCCCTCCCCAGCGGGGGAGGGATCGAAGGGAAGGGGCTTCCCTTCGACTCAATTACGACGTTGCTCAACTTCGCTTTGGCTGGCGCGCTGAGAAGGTCCCTGGGAAAGGGGGGAGCTTTGATGAGCCCAAGGAAAGGGGGAGGCAGGGAACGGGGACGACAGAGACGACGACCAACGAATGACGGAGATAACGACTTGAACGAACAAGCCCCTCACACGCCGACAGGGTCGGCGGTGCGCGCTTTGGACGAAGCTGACAGAGAGCTTCGCCGCAATGCTCAACGAGCAGGCCACAGCCATCACTTGGCTGTCGGTCCCGCCAAGACTGCTGTAGGTCGTATTGTTGGCCGAGCCTCCCACTGATGTGATGTGCGGAGAGCAACTCCGGGCGTTCTGTTGTACAGTGGTCTGTGACCTTTCCCGTTTGCTGCTCTCGCCCACACGCATGCATTTACCCGTGATAACTTGAGACTACAATTCCTTGCGCAATAATATATCGACATATATAGAGATGTATATAGATGTATGTATATATATATATATATATATAGGGATTCAAAAGGAACCGTACATCTGTATACATTTATATATATGTATATATATATAGAGAGAGAGAGAGAGAGAGAGAGAGAGAGAGAGAGAGAGAAAGAGAGAGAGAGAGAGAAAGAGAGAGAGAGAGAGAGAGAAAGAGAGAGGGAAAGAGAGAGAGAGAGAGAGAGGGAGAGAAAGAGAGAAACAAATAGAGGGAGAGAGAGAGAGAGAGAGACATAGAGACAAACAACAGAGGAAGAGAGAGAGAGAGAGAGAGAGAGAGGGGAAGTCAGAGAGAGAAAGAGAGAGAGAGAGAGAGAAATATTGAAAGAGAGATAAACTTTTATCAGACACGCAAGGGGGGGAAGGGGGGATGGAGGGAGGGAGGATACATGGAGGGAGGGAGAGGGGAGGTGGAGCTGGAGCGGCAGTACGTAGGTGGATGGCGTGCGGGCTGGCATCTGGATTCCCCGTGCCAGCCATGGCACTGCAAGCGCTTATGGCCAACCGCAGCGCGTGGCGAATTGCTGTCGGTGCTGGAGGTGTTCTCGCATGGTCAGCCGGGGTCCACCGGCCAGCGCGCGAATGCCAAATGTGGAGCCTGCTCGTGGCTTGCGCCAGTGCTTCTGGAGGATGGTGGGACCTTGGGGTACTCGGAACGGCCGCCCTGGCTTGGCCTGCTTTCCCAGAAGCGGCCGAGGTGCCAGCGCCGCCACCGCCGCATTCCGAGCCCAGACCGCCGGGAGGGCGACAGCTTCGGGCCATCTCCTGGGCCGTCAGCGTCATGTCGAGCAGACGCGGCGCGCTGTGTCGCGCACCAGCCTGCCGGGAGCCCCTTTCCAAGGGAGACTTGCGAGTGTGCAGCCCAGGCCTGGCCAACCCGCTGTATTACCACCCTGCGTGCGTCGAGGGCGGTTTGGGGCCTTATGACGAGCTGCAGGGAGCAGCAGCCCTCTCGCCAGAGCGATAGAACGAGGTCCGCGGCCATTGCGACCGCCCTGGCGCGCCCACCCGGGCAGACTACGTTGCATACCATGGCAGAGCCAAGCGCGCGAGAACCGATGCAGACACCGCTCGACAGGCTGCTGCGCTTGGCGTGCCCTTGCTGGAGGAAGACGATGGGGCGCTGGGCCCTGGACCCGACGATCCTTCCAGCACCGTGCCGCCCCAGCCTGCGAATTTGGAGTGGTGGGATTCGGTCGGGTACGACGCCTTGGAGCACTACGTCCCCACGATCATTCAGGTGCCAACGAATGTGAACGCAGCTTTAGCTCAGCTCCGCGGGCGCGTGGCCGAACAGCTCCTGGCCGCGAGGGACTCTGGCGACGCTCCCGCTCAGGCCCAGGCGGAGAAAGCTTTCACTTTCTTCGACCGACTGCTCCTTTTCAAGCCAGGGAAGATCCGAGGGGGTCAGAAAGCGCACAACTCTGGCGGCTTGACCCGGATCCTGACGAGACGCTTGCGGATGGCTGAACAAGGGGACTGGGGAGGGCTTTGGCGCGAGTCCACTGCGACCGCGAGCCCCGGGCCGAGAAGAGGAGGCAGTGCCCCTACGGCCAAGCAAGACGCGCGAGCGGTGGAGTCGCTTCTAGACGAACACCTCATCAGCAAGGCGTTGCAGCGAACCCTCCGCCCCAGCGCGCTGGCCTCCGGGCCTGGCGTCCAGGCTGGCCTCCAGAGCCTCTTCCCAGAGGGACCAGAGCAGCACCTCTTACAGGCGCCGGCCGCGCCTGACGGCGACGCCCGCGCAACTTTGGCCACCGCCGTGGCCAAGAGCTCAGCGAAGAGCCCGCGCCGCTCTGGGCCAGGGCCAAACGGGAGTCGGTTTGAGCACTGGCGCACGCTCCTGGCCGACAACCCCTCTTTGGAAGCAGTGGCCGGCGTGACCGTCGCTTTCCTGCTCGGCGAGCTCAGCCCAAAGGCCACGCGGGCTAACCTGGGG